AAATTCAGTGGGGAAGGGGGAGAATGTGGCTCTGTTGGGAAAGAAAACTTGTTTCCGTGTAGAGGAAAACCAAGATGGACTCCATTTTGTACCACAAACAAAAGAAAATGCCAGCTAGATTATAGCCTAGCCATGAAATTTGTGATGGTGATATTTAAAGTGTCTACAAGCAACAGAGGATGAATGTCTAGGATATAAAGTACAAGGAACTCCTGTAAATCAACATCAAAGAGATAAGAAACCCAAGTGAAACATGGGTATAGTGAATGAACAGGAAATGCAGGAAAGATGGGAATAGTTAAAGTCTGGTTAGTATAGGACAAGATGTTCACCTCACAAGAAATCAGAAAAAGGAAAATTGGAGATAATACAACTTTATAACCGCAACACCAGATGAAGGAAGATATGGGCTAAGATAGTCCCGCCATGGTGCTGTTGTTAATGGATCTGGCCATTGACAATGGATGGCCTAGAGGCACTTAGTGAAAAAAATTTTTTTAAGATTTATTTATTTATGCATACAAGAACTGAGATACAGGCCAGAGGTGTTGGGGGTGGGGAGAGAATTCACCAGAGAAGAGTGGGGAACAGAACAGGCAAATTGACTGAAATACACTGCTGAGGGGAGCAATGGGCAAGTCAGGAGAGGTCTGCTGCACCATGTGGGTAGCTTCCTGGCCAGGGATTGAACTGGTGCTGCAGTGGCTGTGGATAACTTTATAGGTTGCGTCTTAACCCCTTGAGCCAACAGGGAGGTCCCTAGTTAGTGAAATTAATATATAAGGTACATGCTTGTGAATAAACTCCAGGTCGGGCATAGTGGGCCTTTGCTCTGGAATACTCAGAAGATCTGGTTTTGCTACTTACTTGGCAGCTATTCTTGGAGTTCTTCTGGGGGCATGAAGGTTCCCAGCTGTGACTCTCTTGTACCCCTCAATCTGCTGCTGAGACACAACAGAGTTCTGGGTCCCAGGTCTTGTGCAACTTTCCAGCTAAAGCACCAGATAAATAGGGGGGAATGGGAACCTCTTCTCCTTTTTACTTTCTGCTTTTTACCTTCACAAGCAAACATGCTCAGTTGAGGAAGCATATCTGAGTCCTTTTAACTAAAGGATCAGGACAATTTCTGAAGAGAATTACAATGCTAAAGGAACCACAACTAAATTAGACTTTGAGTCTAATGATTTAAGATACTTAAAAATTCTAATTGCTTGTACCACGAGGGTTCTTTTTGATTTGACCCTGAACTTAAATTTGCTCCTGTCCCACCCACATCCCTTTAAATTCCTATGACTGGCAATCATACGTCTTCTGAAAGAAGTTGACAGTTCTGTATCTTCCTCCTGGATCCATCATCAAGGAATACAGCAGCATTAGGAATGCGCACAAAGAGTGGGGGATTGGGGGATTTGGAGGGGGGCATAGGAGAAGTGCTTCCTGGTGAGTTTCCCACAATGGGGGTGCTACTAGTTTGCTGGTTCTTTGATTTATTTATTCGGCGCATCTCTCCAGGCAAATACACATTTCTTTCCTTCAACAATCACAGAGCTCTGATTCACTTTGAAGGATTATTTCTGTTCATTAATAAGGTTCTGGTGGTATCTCAGTCCCTATTATTAATGTTACTTAAAGGCTTGTTTATTTTCTCCCTATGATCGGAGGGTATGAGTGGGTCAGAGGCAAATATCAGATTTTTTCTATTACACAATGAATCAAAGTTAGACACACGACAGAAGGGATATGAACATTATTAAAATGCAACATAATTCTTACTGAAGAATACTGGAAGTTTCTGTGGAAGTTTAATATAGAAAGCAGAGCCATCCTATCCTGGAACAGAGAGCTCTGTCAACCACAGTCTACCTGTGGAATTTCTGTGGACTCTGGATGCCAGGTATTGACTTTGCACTTTTCCCTTCTTTTTTCTTTAATGGATGAAGGTCAGTTGCCTTCAGTCTATTGGTGAATTATTTATGGGAAGCTTTGCTACATTTCCAACAGTTGTGGTGTGCACCCATACTTTGGTGCTAAAGACTATTTTAAGTGTATCAAATATTTGACTCATTTAATCCTCATGATGCCCACACTATCATGACTCTATTATGATCAAGTCCATTTTTATAGGTGAAAAAACTGGCACAAAGGAGGGATAGTGACCTGTCCAGTTCACACAGCAAAAAGTGGAAGAGCTCGGACTTGAATCCAGAAAGTTTAACTCCACTATCTTTCTAAATTTTTCATCCAGGTGTGGTGCATTTTTTTTTTTCATTTATTTGAAAATTTGCCATTTTTGTTAACTCTTTTAGTTTAAAAATGCAATTGTATGGGGAATATAACCAAAATGAAAACGCATACATTGTGCAAAAATGAAAAATGATGTAAGAATTATATAAAATAAAATATTTTAAAAAATGTGATTCAGTACAAGTTTTGTTAGAGTTATTTCAGGATACAAGCAAACCTGGGCGATATCATCGACTTGGTTCCAGACCAAATTTACTTCATAGTGAAGATTGTGAGTCATGTGAATATTCTGGTTTCCCAATGCTTATAAAAGTTAAGTTTATACTATAATGTCACCTATTAAGTGTGTAATAGCACAATGTGTGAAAAACAAAGCATATGCTCCAATTAGATTTGACACAGAGACACAAAGTGAGCACAAGTTCTTGGGAGAATAATGCCATAGATTTGTTCCATGCAAGGTTGCTGCAAAATATCAATTTGTAGAAAATGCAGGATCCGTATCTATGAAGCATAGCAAAATAAAGAACAATAAGACAGGGTATACCTGTAGTTTAAAGGGTTTTATTGGGGGGGAGGGGAGTTATTTATCTGGTGGAATTTTTTTTTAAAGATTTATATATTTTTATACAGGAACCGGGGTACAGGCCAGATGCGCGGGAGGGTGAGAGGAGTCACCAGAGACAGAGCAGGAAACAGAACAGACAGACTGAGGAAATACACTGCTGAGGGGAGCAGCAGGTGAGACAGGAGAAGTCTGCTTCGCCATGTGGGATTCTCGCCGGCTGGTGGGGATCGAACCCGCGCTGCAGAGGCTGCGGACAGCTTTACAGTGTGGCGCTCAACCGCCTGCGCCATTATCTGGTGGAATTTTAAAGATTGTATTTTCTGTTATTACTTAGGAATTTTAAACTTTTCCATCAAGATTTAAAGGACTGTGAGAATGCCGTGCAGTCATTCTGACCTCGCCCAGCACTCTGTGGCGTAAGCCAAGAGGGATGGGCAGAAGTTCCTGTAAAGGAGGCAGTGGCAGCCATTGGAGTTCGACTTAAAGAATCTTCCTGTCCTGATGAGAAATTTGGGTTACTCCTGAAATCACATCTTCTACCAGCAGGTGTTAGCCATGAAGTGAGATAATTGATTTTTTTTTTTTTTTCCAAAAAGCACAATTCTTGCAGCCTTCCGCAGTGTGACTGGCCTTTGGAAAGACTAGTGGCAGAGACACCAGTTAGGGTACCATTGCAATAATTCAGGTGAGGGGTAATTAAAGTCTGATCTAAGGCAATCGTAGAAAAAAACGGGACTAGAGAGGGTCAGTGGGAATTGTGAGTTGGTGGTGGGGAAAGTAAGCTGGTGTGACAAACAAGTGGCAGTGACTAGTTATGGGGGTGAGGAAGAGAGAAGAGTTGAAGTTGTCACTAGAAAAAGTGACTTCAGGACCTCCCTGGTGGTGCAATGGGTTAAGACGCAACCTATGAAGCTATCTGCAGCTGCTGCAGCACGAGTTCGATCCCTGGCCAGGCAGCTACCCACATGGCACAGTAGACCTCTCCTGTCTCGTGGGCTGCTCCCCTCAGCAGTGTACTTCAGTCAGTCTGCCTGTTCTGCTCCCCACTCTGTCTCTGGTGAATCCTCTCACCCCCCCACACCTCTGGCCTGTACCCAGCTCTTGTACGCATAAATAAATAAATCATTTAAAAAATAAGTGAAGTCAGGTGAAACAAGTTGTACTGGGAAGGGGCATAGGGTAGGCACAATGTGGCATGGAAGTAAATTTGGTGTTGGTTTGGTCCCTGCTGAGCGTGATATAAAAATAATGAAGTTTGAAAGTAGAGCCCTTTAATGAAGAGAAAAATGGGATTTGGGGAAGTCTGTGTACTAATATGGGAGAATGGTATTTGGAACAGGTGCAGCTGGCAAGCTGGAACTCCTGTTTCACCCATGGGGGCAGCTCCTGCCCGGAGCCAGCTGATCAGGTTTGCAGAAATGACCCCAAGCTGCCCAATATTTGGATATTTCCAAACAGAGTAGAAGTAAGTATTTCTAATGTGAAAGATGCCAATTAAAAAAATGGATGTCCAGTTTGCGGTTGATAAAAAAAAAAAAAAAAAAAAAAAAAAAAAAAAAAAAAAATGGATGTCCAGTGTTAAGCAAAGCGTGGTGAGGCTAGAGCAGGTCTGTGGATTCCACAAGGTTTATGCACCACTGGTTTGCAACCTCTGATCTAATTTTAGAGAGTGGGTGAGGCAGGTTTTTATGGTGCATTGTAATGTTAGGGTACCTTGCACTTGGGTGTAGAGTGGGGATGGCAGCAGGAGGATGATTTCCTCTTGTAGAAAGTAAGAGGTGAAAGTGACCCCTCCACTCTAAGGCTTTGCGGCTCGATGCCGGAACTTGCACCGCTGGGTCTGAGGAAAGACCAGCTGACCTTCCCAGCTTTTTAGGTAGCACAGCAGCGGCAGCAACAATTGGCGCTTTGAAAGCTTTCGTCAGAAAATCGTGGGCAGAAACTTCCTGGGGTTTGCTCTGATCTTCTTGAGGCTTCTGAGTTCAGAGGCTGCATGAGTGGGTGTCTCTCTGAGCAGCAGAGAGAGAGAGAGGGGTGTTCCCCTTGGTTCTGGAAACTCTATAAAGAGCGAGTCGGAGTCCCTTCTCATGAGCAGTCAGCAACAGGAGGCCCGTTCTTGACACCTGGGCCTCCGTGGGACTGAGAAGGAAAACCCTTTGCAGGGGGCTGGCCTGAGTCACCGACTGCCATGCAGCAGCCCTTGAATTACCAATACCCCCAAATCTACTGGGTGGACAGCAATGCCAGCTCTCCATGGGCCTCTTCAGGGTCCGTCTTCCCCTGTCCATCTTCTGCGCCTCGGAGGCCGGGGCAAAGGAGGCCACCACCACCACCACCTTCAACACTACCACCGCCACCACTGCCACCACTGCCACCACCACTGCTGCCTGCACCACCATCTCTGCTGCCTGCACTACCACCACAACCTCTGAAGAAGAAGAGGGACCACAACACAGGCCTGTGCCTCCTTGTGATGTTTTTCATGGTTCTGGTGGCACTGGTTGGATTGGGCTTGGGGATGTTTCAGCTCTTCCACCTGCAGAAGGAACTGGCTGAACTCAGAGAGGTAAGTTGCAGGTGGACTTGGGCCCGGGAGGCTCTGGGCATGAGGGGGCTCTGCTGCAGCAGGGGGGATTCCTAGGGGCCACGGAATAGCTTGCAAAGTGTTTTTCAATCTTTTCTTCTTGCTTTATAAGTGGATTACTGTAGACATTGTCTTCTATGGGCTGAGAAATGGAGGCTCACATAAGTAAAAGAAACATTTTCTGTGTTGTAAAAGGATCAGGTCCAAATATCAAAAGATCTGACAGTTACAGTTCTTCCTCTCTCACTTGGCAAGTCCTTCTGCTGAGCCGGTATCTACCTCATACCTAGTGATTCCAGAAAGAAAAGGAACTTTTGAGACTTGTGTAGAAGTGAATTTGTTCAAGTGGACAAACCGAATTTCCTTGAAAATACTAAAAATAGGGCCTCCTTTGTGGCGCAAGGGGTTAAGTCGCAGCACTATGAAGTTATCCACAGCCGCTGCAGCATGAGTTTGATCCCCAGCCAGGGAGCTACCCACATGGCGCAGCAGACCTCTCCTGTCTCACTCACTGCTCCTCTCATCAGTGTATTTCAGTAGATCTGCATGTTCTGCTCCCCATTCTGTCTCTAGTGAATCCTCTCACCCACACCCCCCTCCACTCCTCTAGCCTGTATCCCAGTTCTTGTATGCATAAATAAATCTTGAAAAAAGAGAAAATGTTAAAAGTATTAGCCTAAATCACAAAACTGAGGGTTGGTGGGGTGCAATTGCTTGGCCAAAGTCTGAGTTAGGAGAGATTCTGAGCTATTGGATTATCATTCTGAAACTTGATTTATTGGGACAATTTTGCCTCTTTTGCTTGAAGTACTTCATCTTCCTTACATATATTTTGTCTTTCTATTTGCCAGTCCTCCGGTCAAAAGCACATTGAATCATCTTTGGAGAAGCAAGTAGGTAAGTACTTTTACCAACGTGCATTGAGTTCCCACAATAGTTCCCAGCTGAACGAAGTTGGTAGAATACCTTGAATTCCTTCCATTCCTGTGCATATGTATACTACATAGAGAATCCTGGATAATTCTGAATCTCTGGTCATTTTATTTCCTTGAACTGCCCTAAAGTATGAAGAAAATTTAATTGTTCCAAATCAGTGTAGGTGAGTGCTGTACCAAATTCAAAATAATTTTCACCTGACTTTGGAAAGAGATCCACACACACATACAACCTGGGACCTTGGCACCCCTTAAGCAGCTGGCTCCAGGCCCGTCCCCTTCCTCAGGCCTCCCAGTTCCTATGCAGGGTGGTGGTTGTGACCCCAAGTAAGAGAGGGGAGGTAGAAGTGGAGACAGATGTTTCTCTAAAAGAGACTACTCAAAAGTCAAGCCTTATTTAAAAAATATTTTATAGACTATATCTAAGCTTTTCACAAGAAGGTTATCAATTATCCACGTTAGGCTGTTCCTTCCAACCCCAGTTCCACACCAGTGCTCTTGGGTATCACCTAAGCCAGCTGCCATCTGTGTCTCTTCTGAAAAATTAGATGACTGCACCAGATGCTGTTAACAGATGTGCTAGATGACTGTTAATAGTCATCAAACTGTTAGTCGCTGGAAAGCTGTTATTCCTCTCTCCCCCACCGCTCCCCTCAGCAGCCCAACTTCATCTGACTGAATAATAAAAGAAATGTTTTGTGTGGAAAAAATGTGGGACACCAACTTCATGAAGCTTTAGGACATAGTCTGGAAATTGTAGACTGATAGATTTTAGGATATTTCCCCACTTGTCTTAAACTAAGATTCATTGAACTTAAGATTTGGTTCAAATTGGGAGAGAACTTAGCATCTAATTTTTGCAGTCATCTAATTTTTGCAGTCATCTAATTTTTCAGAAGAGACACAAGATGGCAGCTGGCTTAGATGATATGACCAAGAGCACTGGTGTGGAACTGGAGCTGGAAGGATCATGGGCTCCTGCTACATCATCACGACAGGGTTTGCCAGTAGATGGACTAGTGCTAGGGCAATTCCCAGCTCTCTGTGCTGGCAATGGAATGAGAATAAAGATGGCAAGCAGGGCCTCTGCAAAGACACTAGTAAATCTCCTTCACAGACATCTGGCACCAACTTCTCAGGATGTGCCTGCTGCAGGTGACCCCAATCTCCCTACTGCTCTCGAATGTAGGTTCTTGTAGGAGTCATCCTTAAAATGTTCTGGTCCCTGGTTCTGGATCTGAGTCCCTAGCTGTTAGAAAGTCCAGGCATGCACAGACAGAGTAGAAATACTTGTTGGCAAAAGAAAGTCTCTATAGTATTTCTAAAATAAAATAGCTCTGAAAATCAGTGAAATGTGACTGGTGAAACGGATACCCAATTATTCATCTTTCACCTACTCTCTGGAGTCATCTTAGTCATTAAAAATCAAACGAACAGATGAGTCAGGTCTCTTTACCCCAGTAAACACACCTTCTCTAGATCAACCCAGATGGACCAGAACTTGGTAAATTATCGCATGAAAATGAAATTGGTAACTTTACTAAGATGAGATGCGGATTAAAAGAAGGGTAGATTGGAATTTTAGTTGCAAACTTAATGTTCCTATATACAGATGTTGATTTATTTGGCTGAAATATATAATGTTCTTTTTTTTTTAATTTTAATTTTATTTTTATATTCCCCATACAATTACAACCCCCTTATTTTGACCCCAATCCCTCCTTTCCTCCACCCCCACCCCCCTATAATGTTCTTTCAATGATGATTATTTAAAAAAAAAAAACAACGGAGGTACATTTTCATCCATCATATTAGTAAAGATTATATAAAACAACCCAGACTGCAAGAAAGAGGGAAAAGTGTCTGCTTAAGCATTTAGTGGGCAGTCAGCAGGGTGTAAATCACTGTAACTTTACTGAAGAGCAGTTTCAAAAAATATATCAAAGGATTAAAATGTTAATTTACTTTGTAATCTTTTCACTAAAAATTTATGTTAAGAACTAAACAGATATATAGGGATGACCATGACTTCTTTATGAGGCTATTTATAATAAGCAATTCAGAAGCAACTTAAATTCATCATAATAGAAGGCAAGTTAAATACTTTTTAGTGTATACAGATGTAAACATAAACATAATATACAGCAACTAAAAACAATGATTTAGGAGAATATTTAATGTCATGGAGATTATATATCCTATATTGTTAGATAAAAAGACTACCTATTAAACAGTGTGTTTAATATTGACTAAATAAATACATATGAACATTTTGAAGTTCTAAGTAAAGAACAAAAAGGACTTCTAGTCCAACACATTAACAGTCACTTTCTCTGGAAGGTACTATTATAGATTATTTAAACTTATTTATATGCTTTTTAAAGTTTTTTCCACCCACACAATGTTTTTATTTTTATTCAATTCTAAGCAGATAGCAGAATTAACACAACATTTGGCAATCGTAAATCAGCTTTTTTATTTAGACCAATGAAGAGTGATCTACTTAACAAGCATGGGTTTCGGGATTTTGAAAACCTTTCATCCAAGCTTATAGCTCATCTAGATGATGTTGCTTTTTTTTTTTTTTAAATTGGGGTAACATGGTTTTACAACATTGTATATGTTTCAGAAATAATAGGATCACACACCTCTTCAAATGTATGTTACCACACCACAATTTATTTGATTTATTGTCTTCCATGGTTAACTCATTATATTTGTTAAGCATTTAAATTTTTTCCCAGTTTTATTGAGCTATAAATGATATACATCACTGTATAATTTAGGATGTACAGAGAAGTATGATTTGGTACATCTTTTATTCATTCACAAATATTTTGGGAGTGCTTCCTATGTGCCAGTTTGGAAGTTGGGTGGTGGGTGATGACTGAGAACAAGAGAGAAAAGAGGACTGCCCCTGTGTAGCTTTTAGCATGCTGGAGAAAATAACAGATGCAAAGCAACAAACTGGCATAATTTTAAATTGTACTAGGTGTGACCTAAGATAGAATGGTCTGGAAAGTCCCCTCTACAGAGATGTTGTATGTGTGTATGTATGTGTGTGTGTACAGGTGGTGAGGCAGGAGGATAGAGAGAAGTATTCCAGCACTGAGCATGGCATGTGCAAAGGCCCTGGAGCAGGAAATAATCACAAAAATGTAGAATGTATTTCTAGCTTATTTGTTCCAGTATTTATCCAGCAGATATTTTTATTGAGTAGCTTCATGAAAATAAGACTGTATGAGGCTCTGAGAGAGATATGAAGGCATGTGGCATGTGGTTCTGTGTTCTATTTCCTGTTAGTACATGACTGAATGCCAGATCAGCTGCACTGAGGGTTTGTGGTGTAGGAATGTAGAGGAGACTCAGTTTTGCCTTTCCTGTTCACAAAAACCTTATTCATTGTGGGTGGTCTTGTGTGGTTACAGAGATAATGACTGTTCAGGTAACGTTCTCAATTAACTAAAACATACTTGAGCCATATGTGAGTTTTGCCAAGTGATCACAACCCACTATGGCAAGAGCCTTTCTATGAATCTTTCTTGAATGTCTTAGCCTAATGGCTATCTTGGTAACAGTTGAAATCTTTGAAGTCGGAGAAGTAGTGTCTATTATGAGAACCACAGTCTATTTTAGCTCCTTCAATTTAATTCGATGAACATGTCCTGTGTTAGAACTGAGCTAAATAATTTGGTGGTTCAACATATAGAAGGGAATTTTCCTTTTATTTGGTGGGATAAGATAAGTTATACAGTTACCACACAAAAGGGGAGTCAGAAGTGACAGGAGAGGAAGACAGAGTGATTCTAGGCTTCAAAGGAAGGAAAAGTCATATTTGATTTTCTTGATGAAAGAGGTATTTTAGGTGGTATTTATAGGACTGTCAGGAATTTGACACAGAGCTCTGTTTGAGGACCAAAAAAAATCAAACACTTGGGAATAAACCTAACAAAAGAGGTAAAGAACCTATACAAAGAAAACTATAAAACAATGTTAAAAGAAACAGAAGAAGACACAAAGAAATGGAAAGACATCCCCTGCTCACGGATTGGAAGAATTAACATTATCAAAATGGCCATCCTACCAAAAGTAATTTACAGATTCAATGCTATTCCAATAAAAATTTCAATGACATTCTTCAAAGAAATAGAACAAATATTGATGAAATTCATATGGAGCCACCAAAATAGCCAAATCTCTTCTAAAAAAAAGAAGGGAATGGAGGTATCACACTCCCAGACTTCAAATAATACTTCATAATAATACTACAAAGCCATAATAATCAAAACTGCATGTTATTGGAACGAGAACAGACACACAGACCAATGGAACTGAATAGAAAGCTCAGAAATAAACCCAAAGACTTACAGTCAACTAATCTTTGACAAAGGAGCAAGGAATATGCAATGGAACAAAGAAAGTTTGTTCAATAAATGGTGCTGGGAAAACTGGGCCTCTACATGCAAAAGCATGAAGCTTGACTACTACCTCACACCATGTACAAAAACAAACTCAAATGGATTAAAGAACTAGATATAAGACCTGAAACCATAACATATATAGAAGGAAATATAGGCGAAACATTACATGACATACACCTCAGTAACATCTTTAAAGATGTTACTCACATCACCCAAAGCAGTGATAGTGAAGGCAAAGATAAACAGCTGGAACTACATCAAATTATGGAGCTTCTGCACAGCAAAAGAGACAGTAACCAAAACAAAGAGACATCCACTAACTGGGAGAAAATTTTTGCACACAACACTAATGATAAAGGACTGATTACAAAAATATATAAAATATATAAAGAGCTGATGAGACTCAACAAAAACAAAGTAAATAAGCCAGTCAAAAAATGGACTGAAGAGCTAAAAAGAAACTTCTCCAAAGAGGAAATGCAAAAGGCCAATAGGCATATAAAAAAGTGTTCAACATCACTTGTAATCAGGGAAATGCAAATCAAAACTACAATGAGATACCATCATACACCAGTGAGAATGGCACATATTAAAAAACTAGCAACAACAAATGTTGTCGAGGATGTGGAGAAAAAGGAACTCTCCTACACTGCTGGTGGGAGTGCAAACTGGTCCAACCACTATGGAAAGCTGTGCGGAGGTTCCTCAATCTGCTAAAAATGGAGCTTCCATATGATCCAGCAATTCCACTCCTAGGTATCTACCTAAAGGACACAGAAACATTAATTCAAAAGGGCACCTGCAACCCTATGTTTATTGCAGCACTATTTATAATAGGTAAGCTATGGAAGCAACCCAAATGCCCAAAAATAGATGACTGGATCAAGAAGATGTGGTACATATACACAATGGAATATTACTCAGCAATCAAAAAAGATAAACTCATGCCATTTGCAGCAAGATGGATGGAGCTAGAAGGGGTTATGCTCAGTGAAATATGCCAGAGAGAAAAAGAAAAATGCCAGATGGTCTCACTCATAACAGCAATTTAGAAAACCCAAATAAGGGGTCAGGAAAGAGATAAATTATAATAAAGTAAAAATCAAAATCAACAGACAACTATAAACCAGAGACACACTGTGGTGGGGGCCAGCGAGAGAAGGGAGTAGGATCAAAACAAGGGTGGCGGGAATTTTACAGGGTCTATAACCAAGATGAAAATGCATACATTGTATAAAAATGAAAAATGATGTAAAAAATATGTAAAATAAAAATAAATACAAAAAAAAAAAGAGGTGGCTCAGGTCTGAGGATAATTAATTTGGGGCAGATTGTAAAATGCTGTTGGAGGAAGACCTAGCAGCCAGGAGGTGAAATAATGGTTTCTTCTACCTTTGTCCCACAGGGGCCAAGGGGCAGCAGAGCTCCAGTAGAAAGAGCCCTGATTTGGAGTCAGGAGACCTGAGACTCAAATCATCTTGACACTGAGTCTTCTAAGACAAGTGACTCAATTTCTAAGCTCATTTTGTTATCTATAAGGTGTAATAATAATTCCCACGTCAAAGACAAGTTCTCAATGCATTTCCAGCATGACAGCTCTTGATAAATCAACCTCAGTATTATTTTATGGTGACATTATTATTTATTCACATGTCTATTTTAATGTGGTGTTTGAAGTACAGCCTGCTGTAAGTTCTGCAGTTTGGAATTGCCAGTATGTTTGGTGGTTGCCATTTATGCTTTTTAAAAATTCTCTTTTATTTAAATGCCCCATGTGGAGTCCCATCAAAATAATAGTTGGAATCTCATTTTTAACTATATCTGTCATCTCTCTATGATGCAGGTAACCCAAGTCCACCCTCTGAAAAAACGGAGCGGAGAAAAGTGGCCCATTTAACAGGTGTGTATCTGCATGTGCAGGGGGGCTTAGGGGAGACTTTGTCAGGAAGAACAAACGCTGGTTGGTTTCCATGACTGTGCTCTGAGCAGGTTGTTATTTCCTGGGGATGCTGGAAAATTCTCATACATCTATCTTTTTAATCAGGTCAACCTCATATGCACCTTGAACCCCTACTCTGGACACATCCTGTTCTAAACTGGAGAAATGAAACTAATTATGACATGATCTCCACCTGTAAGGAGCACATTAAAAAAATAATTCCAAACAATTTTAGGGAATTTGGGGTGCAGACCTAAGAGGTGGGAAGGTGGGGAACAATGAATGATTTTAGTCCATGCCTCCCTGGTTTTCTAGATGGTCTTTATTCTGTTTTGTCTCTGTAAAAAAAAAAGACCAAGAGGAGAGATCAGGCCTAGAACTAGTGAATTTTCAGCATGTGGTCATGTAGTGGGGTGAAATAATTTGAGAGCAATATGGTGTGGGCACTCCCAGAAATTTCCACAAGTAGAAAGTATCACAGAAAGTGGTGTGGCACTGTACCTAGAATTATTGAGGCAGAGGCTATTGAATGGCCCAGTTTGGACCAACAGAAATTTATAGAGCACATGCTGTGTGCCAAGCCTTGAGGACATGGAAATGGGTAACACACGGTTCTTGCCTTCAAGGAGCTTAAACTCTAATAGCGGAAAATGAGTTCATGAGCAATAATTTCAGTATTTGGAAGTGTCTCTGCTGAAGGCATATGCAGTAGTGTGAGAATACATAGGAAGGGGAATTCTAGCCCAAATTGAGGAGGGTGAAGAATTCTTTGCGTAGGTGAGGAATTGGACTGGATGATCCCTAGGATCCTTCCCAACTTTTGAACTTTAGATTTACTTCTTCAAGGGACATGAAAGTCCAGCAGTTTTGATGCTAATTCTGAAGATATGGAAATTTTGTTTGAGAGAGCAAAAATCATCTCAGTAACTTCTCACTGCAATGGATTAGGGTTATCCATTATTGTTCCAGTTATACAGATGATAAAATCAAGGCAGGCAATTTGATAAAAATGTTGAAAGAATTCAGTGATGGATGAAGTCTGACTCCTTAGCCTGGTCATGTCATTTTTGAGTAGAAAACATTTGCTGAAGGATGAGTTCACAATTTTGCCTTGGAAGCTTAATTTATTGGATGCATGACCATTCCTGGCTGAAAGTTCTTCTCTGATTGATTGCAGGAAAGCACGGCTCAAGATCCATCCCTCTGGAATGGGAAGATACCTATGGAGTTGCCCTAGTCTCTGGGGTGAAATATAAGAAGGGCAGCCTTGTAATCAATGACACGGGGCTGTACTTTGTATATTCCAAAGTGTACTTCCGGGGTCAGTACTGCACCAACGAACCCCTGAACCACAAGGTCTATGCAAGGAACTCTATTTATCCCCAGGACTTGGTGCTGATGGAGGAGAGGATGATGAATTACTGCATGAATGGACAGATGTGGGCCCGCAGCAGCTACCTGGGGGCAGTGTTTAATCTCACCAGTGCCGACCATCTGTATGTCAATGTATCTACGCTTTCCCTTGTCAATTTTGAGGAGTCCAAGACATTTTTTGGCTTATATAAGCTCTAGGAAAAGCACTTTGGGATTCTCTCTATTATGATTCCTTGTCTCAGGCACAGAGAAGTTTGTCTTGAAGCAGGTCTTCTTAAGCCCACTTGCGGTCAGGTGAGAAGAGATGAGCTAAGAGAACTGTGAGACCATAGAGTCCAATAAGTCCACAGGTCCTCTTCTCACCTAGGATCCAGAGAGCAAGACAGGAGGAAGAATATGACTAAAGGACATCAGACTTTGAGTTACCACGTGAAGATGCAGAGACAGGAAAAAAACAGCTGCCAGAGTGTCCTACACTCATCTTAAATGGCCAAGCGCATTTTGACACATTGAAAAGGACACATTTTCACTCACCTCTAGGGGTGGGTCTACTGTCTACCTCAGGGGAGGCTGTCTTTCAAATATATGGGTGTGACATGTGTCTATAAGGGATGGAAAAGAGAGCTAGGCCTACACAATAAGCTAAAGAGACTGAAAGTCCAGTGTCCCATTGGCAGTGTGTTTACTTCTAGTTCTTTTTTTGTAAGAAGTGGGGTACAGGCCAGAGTCACAGGGGATGAGAAGATTCACCAGAGAGAGCGGGGAATAGAACAGGCAGATGTACTGAAATACACTGCTGAGGGTAGCAGCAGGTGAGACAGGAGAGGTCTGGTGTGTTATTTGGGTTGCTCCCCAGCCGGCCAGGGATTGAACTTGTGCTGTAAAGGCCATGGAGAGCCTCACTGTGCTGTGCTGAACCCCCTACACCACCAGGGAGGCCCGTGTCTTTACTTCTAAATGCATAGCCTGAACCAGCAGGTAATGCTAATAGAAAGCAAGGGGGAAATTTTTGGGATTCAGTCTATTATTTACATAGTGTGTGTATTTCCAGTGCAGTTGAATTGCAGGGGTGTGTATGTATTCATGTGCTCTTGTCTGTACGTGTGTGTATGTGAGTGAGAGAGAGAGAGAGAAACTAGAAGAGTTACAAAAACAGAGAGAACATGGAGATTGTGAAATACATGTTAGGTAAACATGGGTTGCATTGGTGGTAGATTGTGAATGCTTTTTGACAACCAACTCTAATAGTCCTTAAAACTTTTGATTGTCAATTATTGATTTTGGTCTACTACAATATCACCAATATTTATATACATTTTGTGTATTTTAAATGAAAATAATACCTGTAATAAAAATATATTTTAAAATACAGATGAACATTATGAATTTACTTTTTTGGGAATCAGTAAGATTTCTATTTTTTTCAAGCTTTTCCTATCTCCATGGCTTCTGCAGTCATTATTACCAAAGGCTACTTTAAGAAGAAATGGCTGGGGTGAGCTGAATTTTGAAGCCAATCTTCATCTTTGCCAGGTTCTTTGCCCTCCTTTATAATCTCTTCCTTCCACATCCCCTGCTATACAAAGTTTCATGACCAACATTATTGCCAGTGGTAATCTCACCCAACATTCCATGGAAATGCTGACAACTTGTCTTTTCCTGGGGGCAGAGCCATTGCAGTGTGGAAAGGACACAGATGTTGAACTAACAGGTCAACATCTGTTGACCTAAAATATGAAATTTTGGCCTGAATATGAAATTTGCCCCTTCACTTACAAATTATGCAATTTTTCTAGGCAGGTCACTTGACCTCTTTTGAACTGAACACATCTGACATGCACATTAAGTATCTGACAGATAGCAGAGTGTCAAAAAATGGTATATACCATCCAATATTAAAGAGCCACTCTCTGAAAGGCACTTTATTCTCCAGAAGAAACCACTGATCTGAGGGTTCCATCCAAACACCCATTCTCACCACCATCATTGCAATGCCCTTTCCCTATATTATTCAACAACTCGCCACCATGGCCTCCTTCTGGACTTTGTTGTTATTAAAAATTACAATACCGGGGGCCTCCCCGGGTGGCACAGAGGTTTAGCACTGGGCTGCGAAGCTGCCCACAGCCTCTGCAGCCTCTGCAGCCCCTTTTCGATCCCCTGACACCGGGGAGGGCCCCACATGGCACACAGACTTCTCCTGCCACGCCCGCTGCTCCCCTCAGCAGTGTATTTCGTCAGTCTGCCTGTTCTGTTCCCCACTCTGTCTCTGGTGAATTCTCTCACCCCTGCACCTCTGGCCTACACCCCAGTTATATGTAAAAACTAGTAAAATAAAGTTTTTTAAAAAAATTACAATACCTTCTTTAGACTTTGTTTCAATCATGTTATTTTTACATCTTCTCTTATTATTTCAGCTCAATTGCTCCACTTTTTTCTCTTCTGATTTTTTTTTTAACCACATAAAAACCTCTGATTAATGAACTTACCTTTTGTTTTAATATGTGCTCCAGCTACTTCTTTATCTTGTCTCTTTGTCCTGCTAAGAGTCCATCATTTTTCATTAGAATCAGTTGCTTGAAAAGATCCTCAATTCCAAAATACAGTACTTGCTTCATTATACTCCCTTTCAAAAATCCCATTTTCTTCAAGTTGATATCCTGGCAGCTGATGTTGCTGGAGAAAAATTACTCAAACAGGCTGACTAGTTTCTTTTTCTTTTTTTTTTTAATGTATCATTTACTTTTTAAAAAAAGATTTATTTATGCATACCAGAACTAGGGTGTAGGCCAGAGGTGGGAGGGGGTGAGAGTTCACCAGAGACAGAGTGGGGAGCAGAACAGGTGGATAGACTGAAATACACTGTTGAAGGGAGCAGCGGGCAAGGCAGGAAAGGTCTGCTGTGCCATGTAGGTTAGCTCTCTGCCCGGGGATTGAACTCATGCTGCAGTGGCTGGCAATAGCTTAATAGCGCTGTGTCTTTAACCCCTGCACTAGCAGGGAGGCCCATGTATCATCTACTTAAACCATTTAGTCCTCTTTCTGCCCCTAGATATGGCCCTGTCTTCTTATGTAACCCACCATATTCATAAATATGACCTCACTATACACCAGCATTTCCCAACCTCAGTTATGTTGACATTTCAAACTGGATTATTCTTTGCTGTGAGGGCTGTATTGGGTATTATAGTAGGTTTAGAGGCACCCTGGGCTTCTACCCAATAGATGCCAGGAGCATCCTCCCCTCCTCCAAGTGTGATAACCAAAAATACTTCCTGACTTCGCCAAATGTCTCTTAGAAGGACCTGGGGGAGAGACAAATATCTCCCATGGTTGAGATTCGGATCTCAAATGGGCATTCAGACATCCAGCTCTTTTTCTTCAGTAAACCGCCTTTTTTTTTTTTTTTTTTTTTTTTTTACTCTTTTAGATAATTACATCTTTCCTCTCACAAACCAACCACATCCCTTCCTCCCACTATAGAACCTCATTTCTACCACCAAGACACGATCCCCCTGTATCTGCATGTCCTCTTTCTTCCATTCATCACAGGCAGTTAAAGTACCAACCACTATTCTTGCAATAAACTCATTCTTTCCCTCTTTAAAAATTTTGATCTCTCCCCTCAATCCTGGAGCTATCCCCATTTAAAAAAAAAATATTTCCACCAGTTCATACATATATTCAAGTTTCCATTTACTTAAAACACAAAATAGACTCAAACCTTTCTTTATCCTTCTTTTTCTTCCAGTGTAATGACTTCCAACATTTCTTATTTCACCGGTGAAGACAGTAACCTGAGAAAGTTGTCTCCTTAAGCTCATTCCCTGGCTGTTGACATGGTGAACTTCTTATTTTTCAGGTCTTAATTTGAATGATACCTCCTCAGATCATCTTAAGTATAGCCTCTCCTCTGTTTCTCATTATTTTGTGTCTATTTATTTTCTGTTAGTAATTATCATTACTTGTGCTGATATTACTTTTTGACCATTTAAAATAGGTTTTTCCATGGGCATCTCTGGTGGCACAAGGGGTTAAGAAGCAGCACTATGAAGCGATCCATAGCCACTGCAGCATGAGTTTGGTCCCTGGCCAGGGAGGTGACCCATATGGCGCAGCAGAGCTCTCCTGCCTCTCCTGCTGCTCCCCTCAGCAGTGTATTTCAATACATCTGCCTGTTCTGTTCCCCACTCTGTCTCTGGTAAATCCTTTCACCCACTGCATCGCTGGCCTGAACCCCAGTTCTTGTATGCAAAAATAAATAAATATTTCAAACAAAAATAAAATTGGTTTTCCCTTTAAAATAAAAGTTTTGAAAATAAGACATTTCTGCCTTGTTACCCCTCAATTCAGATCACCTGCCTTAATACCTGATACGTATTAGGTGCAACAAATATTTTTTGACTGAAAAATCTTAATTATAAGTACAATGTCACTCATTATGGAGAGTGCAGTCTTGCTTCTCAGAGTAGTACATCTATATTATCATGGTCTCATGAATGCACGTGACTGTTTATCCAGCTTCAAGTAGATTATTCAATAGGTGTTTGAAGTTACAGATGGAAAAAACAATAAAGCAGCCCAATTCAAAGCATGGAAAAATGAGAAAGATCTATTTGGTCCCTGGCATTACCAGATCTATTCAAGAGATTGTTGCCAACTACAAGATAACTAGAACCAAACTGTCATTTAGAAGATGCTCAATAAATATTTGTTGAATAAAATAATGAATAAAAGCAAAGGTCCAAGTTGGAGAGTGTAACCTTCTCTCCTTAAAACTCTACTTTTGATTCATATGTTTTATATGGTCAGGTGCCTGACCATGTAGCCCGTGGTGAATGTCAGACACTCACTTTTCTTTTGGCTGCAAGTCTATATTCCCAGTCCTTGTAACCAAGTTCTCCTTGTCTTTTTTCCTCTTCTTTTGGCTCAGCTGTTATGTATGCCATTTATAAAGGTCATGGAAAGTTTGCTGGTCCATTTTTTTTTTGATTCCTCTAGATAATGGTATCCCTAGATAAATAGGTGCAAGTGGCACAGGAACAAGCTGAGCTGACCTGATGTTCCCAGCTAGTCATGGTACCCTGGGGCCTTTCATCCTTGAGTCTGATTCCATTATGGAAAGTAACTTGAGATTTTCTGAAAATAGGTTAGCAGCTTACTATGCTTTAAGTACTGGTTCCTGGGAAAAGATGTCA